AATCAATATCACCACAGTTCTACTACCTTTTAAACTATTTGAAACACTTATATTACAAACTTGAAAGTGGAATGCAATATTCAGTTTTCCAATCTGTCTTCCCACTGCACACAAAAAGCACACTCCTATGTGTACACTAGACATTGATATTACAAGCATAATATCCTACCATACTACAGCTGCAGAGTATCCCTCTTCCCAGGAAATCCATACTCAGGGAGGCTCAGAGACAAGGACCACTGGCCAGGTCACTACATAAATCAACACAACCATAGCCTAGCTCATGGTCCATCAAAATCCCAGCAGAAATGACAGCTCAACAGATCATCTCTGAACACCCTGCACTCACCATGGCAGAGCTAGTGGTCTTCCTTACAACTCATTACAACAGAAGCAGAGAAGAATCCTGGAAAGAACACCTATAAGCTACCTACCACTATTGTTCCTGCATGCTAAGCCTTCCCAAAGTCCCTCACTGGCTAACACCACCCTCAGAATATTATCAGCTCCCACACTTGGTGATCAGAGATCAAATTACTCAGATATCACAGAACTTTCTGCTCTGACCTTCCAGTCCAGGGAACAGGGTCCTAGTTTAGAAAGTTAGTATTTTAGTAGACATTACTCCACTTTCCGAGAACATATCCTTTTCCTCATCCAAAGCACAGGGTCCTTTGTGTGCACATCCCATTGCACACTAAATGTGCAGTACAGCCAACCCATGGCTTCATACCTGGAAAATCCTGCAGCCAAACACAGGTCACATTCACAACTGTTGTTAAAGAAAAATAGGCCATAAATTAGAAGACACTGGTGGTCATGGTAGGGCTTGGGAACAGGAAAGAAAATGTGGATATGATATAGTTATAATCTCAAGAAATTATTTTGAAAAGTTGAAACAGGATTTATGGCCATGGACTCCAGAACCTAGGGATTTGTATTAAAGCACATCCAAGATTTCTCAAACCTTTTATCTCAGGGTATATATCTAAAACCAGTTAAATAAGAGTCCTGTTAGGCAGGGCCACAACATTTCACTCTGATCTATCTATATTGGTTGAACTAATATAGCTATAGCAATTTGGTTTCATAATAAGATCAGTCCAGATTCTTGATTGCCTGGTCTGTGGACACCAAGAAATGACCATCAGGACATTTATGGAGCATCTAAAATCGATTACCTAGTTCCACATGGCTAATCTCAGCTACTGTTGAAGTAGGAAAGTTCTCAACCACTGTCCTGTCTCTCCCTTTCTGTACTGTGAATCTACCAGCTTCAAGCTTTGTCTATGCACTCAATTCTTGCACAGATCCCTCTTCATCTATAATCACACACTGAATGTCAGAGAGACTGGAGGTCACTCATCAGCTGGTTTCTTCTTCATTCTCATTGACCAGTCAAGGTCCCTAGCTGCTGCCTACCAGCCTGGGCATCCGGAGATCTCGCATCTGTTCCAGGTTGGCGATTCTGTGTACATTCAGAGACATTGGTCCCAGAACCTTGAACCTCGCTGGAAGGGACCCTACACTGTGCTTCTTATGACACCTACAGCCCTCAAAGTGGATGGTATTGCAGTTTGGATCCACGCATCTCACATCAAGCCAGCACCTCCACAGGACGACCCGAAACCTTCCAAATGGAAGCTTCAGCATACCCCAAATCCTCTAAAACTGAGATTAGTCAAGAAAGACTGATCCTACCAGGCTTGCTGTTCTTTGCCCTGATGTTTCCTTCCACATATAGTGCTAAAAAACCCCTGTACACCTCAGGACTTAACCTGGACTCTGACTAACTTTGAGACTGGGCAAGTCTTAAGGCTAGCCACTGGAGTTCATCCCCTGGATACCTGGTTCCCCCGGATAAATTTTGACCTATGTGCTCTAACAAAGGACTCTTGGGGGGGGGGGGGGATACTGAACGAACTCTCGAGAACTCTTATTTGTCCTGGGGGAAGACGAACTTGGCAGGGGGGGGGGGGGGCTGAAATGTTTTATTGTGCTGCCTGGGGATGTGAAACCAGTGTCAGTACCTCCTGGTTGGGAATTGGCAAAGAGGACTTAGTCTCTTTCACTCGTACCACATCAGGGGAATCTGAAATCACAATCACCTTCACGGAGAAGGGGGGGAAAAGTTAATTGGTTAACAGGTAATACTTGGGGTTTACGGTTGTATAATCCCGGAGGGGAAGACATAGGGATTCTGTTCACCCTATGAATTGTTATAATGCCTCCAATGACCATAGCACTAGGGCCCAACCCGGTATTGCCTGACCAGGGACACCTAGCCCTGGCTGAGGTAGCCCCCCCCTTACCAGGCCCTGGGTCCCCCTCCACGTCCTAAAAATCCCTCTGATACCATTGCTTCACCACTGGCACTCTCTAATACAGGCCAGCAACTGTTTAATCTAATAGTGGGAGCTTTTTCTTTGCTGAATAATACTGACCCCAATATGACACAATCTTGCTGGCTATGCCTATCAGCAGGACTCCCATACTATGAAGGGATTGCAATATCCGGGGGTTTCAACAACACAACTAGCCAGGACGGCTGTGCTTGGGGAACTAGTCATAAACTAACTCTTACAGAGGTTACTGGTGCAGGGACATGCTTGGGAAATCCACCGGCTTCTTACAAACATTTATGTAATGAAACCCTTAAGAGCCCTAAAACTTCTAAAACTGGATACCTGATCCCTGATTCAGATAAATGGTGGGCTTGTGGTACAGGCCTGACACCTTGCATGGCAACATCGGTTTTTGATGGTACCAAAGATTACTGTGTGCTCGTTCGACTAGTTCCAAGGGTCTTTTATTATCCTGCTCTATTGACCAGGACTTAAGGACCCTAGAACAATCTATCACCAAGCTTGCAGATTCAATAATCTCTCTTTCTGAGGTAGTGTTACAAAATAGGCGTGGGTTAGACTTGCTATTTCTTCAAGAAGGAGGACTCTGTGCTACCCTAAAGGAACAATGTTGTTTCTACGTAGATCACTCTGGGGTAATTAAGGATTCAATGGCTAAACTCAGAGACAGGTTAGACAAGAGGCAGAGAGGCACATCAAAATTGGTTTGAAGGCTGGTTTAACCGCTCCCCCTGGTTCACGACACTCATTTCCACCATCACTGGTCCCTTGATCATTCTATTACTCATACTAACCTTTGGGCCCTGTATCCTCAATCGACTCCTGATGTTCATTCGCAAGCGACTTACCATTACTCAAGCTTTGGTGTTGACCCAGCAATATCATGCCCTTAGGGATAATCCCTGAGAATCTCAAGATTGAGATTTGACCAAATCAAAGGGGGGAAAGATTTTGAGGCACCTTAGCATTACTGCACCCCCCTTCCTGGGAACCAGGCCCTTAGCATTACTGCACCCCCCCCCATCCTGGGAACCAGGACCCTGGTAACCAACCTCACGTGCATTGGAGCTTTGAGTACTTTCCATCCCCATTGTAGTCTTTCATCAATAGACCCAGACCCTGGAACTGGGGTGAGACGACCTGCAGGTGTTCCTCCTTGTAATCGCCATAACATTGATCAAGTAGAGTTAGCTGACCATTGAATAAACTAGTCAAAATAGTTGACAAATGATTTTTGGCCATTTCCCTTTTATTCTGTACTACCCCCTCCCTGATTTTGTGGTTTTTCCTTTAAAAGAGCTTGTAATAGACAAAGCGGGCATCCTTCTCCTCTCGAGGCTGAGGGACCTCTGCTGTGGCAGGATAAAAATTCCTCTTGCTATTGCATCAACCATGCTGAGAATGTCTCTTGGGGCGACCTCCTCCTCGGTGGGGCTTTAGGGCCCAACAGTACAAAGCCCATATCTCACATAGCCAGCTAATCGAGAAACCCATCTATGCCTCGATGGTGGCTAGTACCAGGCCATCTGTCATTGACCTCCAGGAAGCCTAGTCCCATAGGACATGTAACTCCTCTCCGGCATAATGACGTATGTCATGTCACACAAATGACACTGGAGTTGGTGTGGCAACTGAGTTTTAAATTTACCCTTTGGGTCATGTAGTAAACTGTCCATTGCAGTAATAGGTAAAGGATTTACATGTGAAGTATGGTTTCTGTATTCAGACCAGAAGAGGAAAATTAATTTCTTGTGTGCACTGCAGGGGGAAACAGGGTAGGCAATCAGCTGCTGGAGTTGCTCGGATTAAAAGCAGTTATTTAGTGTAAATATAAATCAGACTGTGTACTCAGCAGACGTCCCTGGTTGTTCAACAGCTACATGAGACAGTTGGCAAAGGGAGGTTGGTCCCTCCTACTCGGGACAGAGGGCATGTTGCCCGTGGTGGTAGTGGTGGCGCTGGGCACGAGCTCCTCAACCTTTTCCGCCTTGGTCTCCGGCACCTCTCTCTATTAATCTGTGTATCACCATGTGGCTGTGGCTTACCAGTTAAAGTTCCCAGCATCTGTCTCTGTAGCTCCATGGCTTCTGTATGATTCTGCCTTCCTCCTCAGATGCTATAGGCCAAGCTAGTTCTTTATTCATTAACCAACAAAGGCAACACACAGATAGAAAAACCGCCCCCACCAGTTGGTGGCCAGGATAAGGACACCCAAAGCTTCCCCTCAGTCACAAGTCCCCTCAATGTCAGGCTGCAGCAGGAAAAGTCAGGTTCCTGAGCATTGGTAGATAGGCCACAGGCGAGAGAGAAATGTGCTCTTCCAGAGGTCCTGAGTTCAATTCCCAGCAACCACATGGTGACTCACAACCATCTGTACTGAAATCTGGTGCCCTCCTCTGGCGTGCGGGCATACATCAAGGCAGAATGTTGTATATATAATATATAAATCTTAAAAAAAAATAAAACAAAATAGAAACCACAATGCAGTGATCTCCACCGTCTGTCTTCAGTGAACATGGTAAGGTTCATAATCCCTGAAGGTTATATGAATAAGAAATGAAACAAACTTTTTGTCTTGAGCCAGAAGACAACTGTGAGGTCTAAAATCTTTATGAAATCATTTACATGAACAGGTTTTTTCCCATGTATGAGCTCTTCCTTATTTCCTTAGTTCAAAATTATACAAATAGGCTTTAAAATATTACAGAGCTAGAGACATGGCTGAGCAGTTAAGAAAAGTTCATTCCCAGGACTAAGGTCTGGTTTTTGACAACTTCCTGTAATTCCTGCTACAAGACAATCTGAGGGTCTAACCTTCTCAGGAACCAGCATACAAATGCATATACTCAAATACACAGTGACATCACATAATTAAAATTAAAACAAATCTTTAAACAAAATTTCACTCATGAAAATTTTTATAAGCATTTATTCTTGTGACACAGATGTTGAGGCATCTAAAGGGTTATTTAAAGAATTTTTCTTCATCATGAATTGGTTCATACAACAGAAAACAAGTATGTAGGCTTGAAGTCAGAGAAATCAGTCCTTCTCAGTTGGTGGCATCATTTGGGAAGATTTAGGAAATGCTGCCCTGCTGGAGGAAATTTGTCACTGGGGGTATGCTTTGAGAATTTACAGTCACACCCTCCAGTTCCCACTCTTCGTGCTACAAATTAAGGATGTGAGTTCTTAGCCTCCTGATTTAACTGATATTATCTGACACTTGTTGCCACTTTCATGTTGATCCTGTATCTCTCTGGAACCAAGGACCAAATTAAACTCTTTCATAAGTTGATGCAGACATATTTTATCACAACAGAAAAGGCACTACCACAAATCCATAAAGGTTTACAACTGAATTGGTTATTACATGTACTTAAAGAGAAGTATGAAATACAAAAGGGTTACCTTATCATTTAAATTCAAAGGGTCTCCCCCCAACAAGGATTTGCAGGTACAAACAAAATAAAGATGGACACCACAATGCTTGAACAGATTGCTGACATTGTCAATTGTTTTTCCCCTGAATACTCTTGTATAACTGCATGTAGGTGTGTTGGCTAAAAATCTTACCAAATACTTTATAGTAAGAAGCCCTTTCATTATTAGTTTTTTTTAGGTACACAAATATTGATATAATATGCAAAGGCTTTAACAGATTGCACACAAAAAGTTTACTTCTATATAAAGGGCAAATTTTACCAAACAGACTACATTTATAGGGTTTCTTTGCAGTATTTTTTCTCGTGACTCCGAAGTGTACTGACACATGCAAAACCTTTACCACACTGATTACATTCATAGGGTTTCTCACCAGTATGTATTCTTTTATGTATTTGAAAATTATGTTGATATGCAAAGGCTTTACCACACTGGTTACATTCATAGGGTTTCTCTCCAGTATGGGTCCTTTTATGGCTTTGAAGATGACTCTGACGTGCAAAGGCTTTACCACATTGATTACATTCATAGGGCTTCTCTCCAGTATGTGTACTTTCATGTCTTATAAAAGTACTGTAATGTGCAAAGGTGTTACCACATTGACTACATTCATATGGTTTCTCTCCAGTATGTATTCTTTTATGTATTTGGAGAGCATTAGGATATGCAAAGGTTTTGCCACATTGATTACATTCGTAGGGTTTCTCTCCAGTATGTGTTCTATTATGACTTTGAAGTTGCCTGTGATGTGTAAAGGTTTTACTACACTGATTACATTCATAGGGTTTCTCTCCAGTATGTAGTCTTTTATGCATCTGAAGATTACAGCGATATCTAAAGACTTTACCACATTGGTTACATTCATAGGGTTTCTCTCCAGTATGTGTTCTTTTATGTAATTTGAGAGTACGGTGACAAGCAAAGGATTTACCACACAGATTACATTCATAGGGTTTCTCTCCCGTATGTGTTCCTTTATGTATCTGAAGAGTAAAGTGACGTGCAAAGGCTTTACCACACTGGTTACATTCATAGGGTTTCTCTCCAGTATGTGTTCTTTCATGGCATTGAAGATGACTCTGACGTGCAAAGGCTTTGCCACATTGATTACATTCATAGGGTTTCTCTGCAGTATGTGTTCTTTTATGTATATGGAGATTAGAAGAACGTGCAAAGGTTTTACCACATTGATCACATTTATAGGGTTTGTCTCCAGTATGTATTCTTTCATGTAATCGTTGATTACTGGGGCATGCAAAGGATTTACCACACTGTTTACATTTATAGGGTTTCTCTCCTGTATGCATTCTTTTATGGACTCGAAAACTACCGCGATGTGCAAATGCTTTACCACATTGATTACATTTATAGGGTTTCTTTCCGGTCTGAATTCTTTCAAGCCTTTGAAGATGACTATGATTTGCAAAGCCTTTAACACATAGAGTATATTTAGATGTTTTCCCTCCAGTATGACTTCTTTCAGACCTGCAAGAATAATTGGCACATGTAAGTTTTACCACATTCATTACACTGTTGAATCTTCATATTTGTATAAATTAATTTCATCAATTTAGTCTGATTGTAAAGAGGAATGAGATCTTAAGGTTTTATCATTTTATTTACACTCATGTTTTTCCACTTCATTAAGGGCTGTTTTGCATCTTTGAAGATAACTGTAATAGTAAAAGCCTTTATTACATGGCTCACATTTATAGAATCTTTCTTTCTAAATGGGTTTTTTTTTACATATTTGAAAAGAACTGGAAAAACTCAGATCTTTACCACACTTCTTGCATTCAAAATTTTTCCTATGCTGTGAGTGATAGCTAAGTGAACTAGGACAAAAGGAATTATTTACACATTCCTAGCACTCATAGGGCTTTTCTGCAGTGTGATTTTTGTTGATGTATTAACAGTAAAGTTGCAAACCCAACCACTTGTATACCTGAATCAAATTTAACAAATCTACTCAAAAGTGGGGACTACTACAAATCTTCTAATCATTCTGAGAGGGGTTATGTTACATATTTCCATGTCCCTATGCTCATATGTCTTGTATCCAGAGTGACATATGATATACCTAGTAAAGGAAGAATAACAAATAAATGGTTTCCACATTGAATTTATAGTTTTACTTTCTGTTCCTCATAAATGTGGTATAGTGTTTAAGGTTTCTCCACAACAAACACCCCTTGACTCTTGACTCCAACTGCTCTTCTCATTTAACTTAGTAAAGTTAAAACAAGTATATGAGTAACATTGCTTTACCACGGACCATTTGCTTATTAGAAGGTTTGGACATATACATATCACCTCTTCAACGTGTGTGCCTTCTGTAACTTGAGTGGTACAAAACTAAATGGATTGGCAGTTCTACACCATAGCTATAATGAGGCTTTGATCAAATGGTGATATCTGGTAAGGCATTGTTTCTTTGTCTTCTTCCTGAGTGGAATGCCTGGCAAACTTAATTCATCTTTCTGAAATTGAGGTATATGGTTTTATGAGAATTTTGTAAATATCCATACACTTTTAAGTTGTGCTTATTTACATGCTTTCTTTTCTTTAAAACTTCAAGGACACATTACAATTTCTTCAGAGGCACATTTGTATCATCTTGCACATAAAAATTACCTTTTTTGTCTTCTAGAATTCTGATAATATTCCTCAATTCTATGGTCTTCCCAATTGTATCCTAAAATATAGTACAAGAAAGTGTATGGTATATTATTGAAAATTGTGTAAAACTTAAGTTACCATCTTCAGTGAACCCTAGATCCATGCCTGATTTATTCACCTCTGTGGTAATATTTTATTTATGATCTAACAAAGTTTGCCTGAAGATCAGAGCACAAAGCTAGACACAGTCATAGAGGCTAGTCAGTGGTGCTACACACCATTAATATCAATAGTCATAATAGTTAGCCAAAGAGGCCAGGCAGTGGTGGTACACACCTTTAATCCCAGCACTTGGGAGACAGAAGCAGATAGATCTCTGATAGTTCAAGCCCACCCTGAGCTACACAAAACCGATCCAGTCAAAAAGGGAAACAGAGCTCATAAAAGATGATCTCAGCACTTGGGATCCCATGCCTTTAATCCCAGCACTAGAGATGAATATAAAGGGGGAGGAGACAGGAGCTCAATGCAGTCTGCAGTCATTCTGAGGACAGGACTGTCCATTCGGTCTGACTATTGATAGAGGTGGGAACTCTCTAGCTACTTCTCTGATCTTCACCTTTAACCCCAATATGTCTCTGGGTTTTTATTAAGAACAATTAGAATTCCTGTAACATACCTCATTCGTCCTCTTCCTCAATCAAATTACAGAAGAACATTAATAACCAAGGAACAGTTGTCCCCTTATTTGAAAACATAAAGGAAAATTCAGTCTTACCTATAGTAGCGAGATTCCTGTAGGTCTCCAGCATCACATCTTTGTAGAGATTTTTCTGGGAAGGATCCAGCAAAGCCCATTCTTTCCAAGTGAAGTCGATATGTAAATCATCATAGGTCACTGTATTCTAAAATACCCCACACATGTAAACAACAAAAACTGTGATACTGACAACATTTTAAATGTATAATTCTTTGACAACATAGTCATATAATTCTGGTGCTCCCCATACTTATTCTATGACAAGGGTATTATAATGTGTTTACCAAGTTAGTTTAGAAGGAAACTGAATAGGAGGTTCACCTCTGACATTTCTGTACTGTTTGAATGGGCTATCACCTTGCAAGAAAAATGACTATAAACAAACATAAAGAGAGAAGTAAACAATCAACAGTACAAAGTACATATTAGAGAAATTATTTAAACAATTACTAACTACAAAAACCGAAAAATAATATGGGCAATCTGGGCATATTGACTCATGCCTTTTAACCCCAGGACTCAGAAGGCAGAGGCAGGTTTATCTGCCCCTGAGTTGTATGCCAACCTAGTCTATGCATCAGTTCAGAAGTACATATTAAGACCTGGACTCCTGGGTAAAAATCATTCAAAGAAACAAAAAAGATAGATCTCAGAGCCCACATTTATTTGTTTGTTTGTTTATGCTAAAATTCTTACAAAGTGTTAAGGATTCTGATCCATGTCATCCGTGAAGAAATTGCATTTATAAATAAATAAATATTTATTTACTATGTATACGATATTCTTTCTGTGTGTATGCCTGCAGGCCAGAAGAGGGCACCAGACCTCATTACAGATGGTTGTGAGCCACCATGTGGTTGCTGGGAATTGAACTCAGGACCTTTGGAAGAGCAGGCAATGCTCTTAACCTCTGAGCCATCTCTCCAGCCCCCACTTCAATGGTTTTCATATTCTGCCACAGCCCCTACACTGTTGAAAATGTCCAAAGTATCTTCCAACACTCAAGGCAATCTCTTGTCTGTGAGATTTTGTAAAATCAGAAAAAAGTTACATCTTTCCAATATACAACAATGGCACAGAATATCCATTTGCACGCCAGAAGAGAGGAATGGGAACATAGTGAAGGCAAGCCTGAAGCACAACAGGACAGAACATCAAATCCTACAGCTCTGTCTCAGATGCATGGGGCTTCAGTTTCCAAGGGCGTAGATAGCCCTATCCCTGAAACTTCTCATACATCTCTGTGTGTACTGCTATTCCATATATGTAGCTACCTCTCCATGGCAGGTATCTTACAGCTTTGGTATTTCAACATCTTGTGGTCTCAAAATGCAACCCAGGCTTTGTCCTCACAGCTTCATGCAATGGACTCTCACAGTATCCATACTGGGTTTCTGTCACTCCTAAGCATAGATGCCTGCATCAATGCCGAACTGAAACCACAGACTAAGAATCCATAACCTTAAATTTTGATTCTTTCTTGTTTGCAGGGCTGCCACATCAAGGGTGATCTTGCAAAATTTGACTTCTTAATTGGGATGGACACTAACATACTTGGACCACAGGTGCAGCAGGTTTTGTATGAAATTGCTTCCTGGGAGTAGGAAACACTATGCTTATTCCTTATATAAATTAAAAGTGAGTGGAGTCTCACCCTTAGGGCACCTTGATAGGTTTCTACTCCAGAGCAACAAGGTCAGAGTTGCAGGTGTCCAAACCAAGGTTGCTAACACAAAACACCCTAAGAAAGGCTTGCCAATTCTTCACTTGCTAAGTCTAGCTCGAAATAGACACCTATGTCTCAAAGTTTGTCACTGTGCACTGTGTTCCTGCTTTCTCTGATCACAGCCTTACTCCTGAAACCTTGTTGCCATGGTCATTGGCTCAATTTCTTATCACTTACCCTAGGAATGTGCTTTTGACCAATGAGAGGTAACTTTTTCTTTAGCTTCAAGCTTCCTGAAAGAGAGGAAGTTTTAGACTAGAGAAGAAGCGAGGAGGTATTAGAATTATGAAAGAATTGGAAGAGGCAGAAGAAAAGAGACCTGTTTGGAACAGCTTGTTCACCCTCAGATACCTTAAGTGCTTTCACTTGCTGTAGCATTTCATCAGAACCCCCAGACACCATCCCTCCTCATTACTGTGTGTTAGCCCCCAACTTGGACACAGACCCCTGCTTGAACAAAGGACACACCGTCTGCCAGAAGTTCATGTAGGCCACCCTCCTGCAGAGCTCCCACACTCTCTCAGTGTCCCTTCAACACTATCCTCAAGACCCACCCCTCTTTGCTTTTTTCAACCCATAACTTGGACAGAGACTCTCTGATGGAACTATAGCCACGCCTACTGCCAGATTTCCAGCCCCTATCTTGGGAGGGGGGAATGCATGTCTAACCATAGGCCACACAAACCAGAAGATCAGAGAGCAGATAGAAACCGAGGAACAAAACACTCAACCAACAAAGACAAATTGAGAAATCAGCACCTAGACCCATAAGCACCTCAAAGCCAGATACCTAGACACCAGAGTAAGAGCACAATCAACAACAGCCAGGGCAATATGTCACTACCAGATTCTCGCTATCCTATGACAGCAAGCCCTGAATGTTTCAACACAACTGAAACACAAGCAAAAGACAATAAGACCAGCTTTATGAAGATGATAGAGGTCCTTAAAAAGGAAATGAATAAATACATTAAAGAAAGCTAAGGAAAAAAAGTTGATACAAATGAATGAATCTGTTCAAGTCCTGAGAATGGAAAGAGAAGCAATTAAGAAAATGTAATCTGAAGGAATTCTAGAAATGAAAATCTAGGTAAGCGAATGGGAATTATAAAGTCAAGCTTCAAAAAAAGAATACAAGACATGGAACAGAGAAATTCAAGCAATGCAGATACAACAGAAGAAATAGATGTATCCAGTCAAAGAAAATGTTAAATATAAAAAGTTTCCTGAAATATAACATTCAGGAACTCTGGAACACTATGAAAAGATCAAAGCTAAGAAAAATAGAAACGAAGGGGGAGAATTCCAGCTCAAAGGCCCAGAGAATATTTTCAAATGCATCTTAGTCAAAAATTTTCCTAAAGGACACTAGAAAAACACATCCCACAGAATCAACTAAAGAGGTCTTGTGCGGGTGCAGAGACTAATGCAGCAATCATAGGGACTTCAAGAGTCTTAGCAAGGTCCACTGCATATACATTAAGGTTGTGTAGCTTGGTGTATTTGTGAGACTTCTAACAGTGGGAGAAGGGGAGGGTGTCTCTGACTCTTTCGTCTGCTCTTAGGACCCTTTTTCTCCTCCTAGTCAAGGCTTCATATGGGGTTTGGTGTGGGATTCCCCTCTGTATGCTATGAATATGTTTTGTTACCATTGGTTAATAAAGAAGTTGCTTTGGCCTATGGCAGGGCAGAATATAGCAAGGTGGGAATTCCAAGGAGAGAGAGAGGAGGAAAGGAGGAGTCAAAGTGATATCATGTAATTGTTTAAGAAGAAGAATGCTAGTGCCGGGCGGTGGTGGCGCACGCCTTTAATCCCAGCACTCGGGAGGCAGAGGCAGGCGGATCTCTGTGAGTTCGAGGCCAGCCTGGTCTACAAGAGCTAGTTCCAGGACAGGAACCAAAAGCTACGGAGAAACCGTCTCGAAAAATAAAAAAAAAAAAGAAGAAGAATGCTAGAACCTTACTGGTAAGTCACAGCCTCGTGGCGATATACAGATTAATAGAAATGTGTTAATTTAAGATATAAGAGCTGGTTAGGAATACATCTAAGCTATTGGCGAATGTTGTAATCAATATAGTTTTTGAGTGATTATTTGGATCTGGGAGGTCAAGAAATGAATAAGTAGTCTCCATTTACAGGGGTTTATGCCTAGTCTTGTTGTAATTTGTTATACCATGTTTGGTTGATATTCTTATGATATCTGCTCTGTTATGAAGAGATATGGAGGAGAAGTAAATCTGGGGGACAGGGGAGTGGGGAGGGCACTGGAAGGAGTAGAGGGAGGGGAACTGTATTCAGTTTGTATGAGAAGTTGTGTGCCTATTCCTCCCATAAATTGAAGGCTTAGGTACCCTTGAGGTACCTTAATAGGCTTCCAAAGCAGAGCAAGGGCCTTCTCTTCAATGGTGCTAAATACCTTGAAATTTCCTATATCAATTTGTATTGCATGAGAGAGGAATAAACTTTTTTTTTTAAATAAAGGAATGTGGATAAATGAGGGAGGATTGAACTCAGCAGGGCAAATACCAAATCCTGTAGCTCCGTCACAGACAGGTGGCGTTTCATTCTCAAAGGGCTAAGATAGCTCTGTCTCTGAAAATGTTCACACCTGTGTCTGCTTTTCTACTTCCACACCTGCATGCAACTCTCCATGGCAGATGTCTTATAGCTTGGGTATCTCAACATCCTATAATCTCAAAATACAACACAGACTTAATTTTCAGAGAATTATATAATGAATTCTTAGTCTTCTCACTGGGTTTCTGACTTTGCCAAAGATGTGTACAACAGTGCTGAACTGGAACCACAGAGGAAGAATCCATGACCTTTAAAATTTGCATCTTTCTTGTTTCCATAACTAGTACATTGCTGAGCCACCAAATTTGGTTTCCAAGTTGTGATGGGCCCTACAATAATTGGACCAGAGTTGCAGCAGATTCTGTATGAAGTGAATCACTTTGTCTATTCCTCCCATAAATTGAAAGTTTAACTGGATGGGATCTGACCCTTAGGGTACCTTCCTTGGCTTCCAATGCAGAGCAAGGGCCTTCTCTTCAATGGTGCTAAACACCTTGAAATTTCCTACCTCTGTTTCACTACTGGACTGTCATCTCAAAGTACCTAGTGCTGTTTTTCTCTACAAAACACGGACTTTTCATTTCTTTCTACCCCACTTGTTTTTCACTATAGACCTAAATGAGTTATATTAGTAATAACTATTCAACATAATTAATACTTCATCTAAGAAATCAGCCCAGTTAGTTTTTAATTCTTCCTTACTCAATCTCTCAGGGAATAGAGAAAATAAGAACAACGTTGACACAAAATATTATACGAATGACCACTAGCTAAATTTTCCATGAAGTCTATTTTCCACTGAAAACTTACTACCTGCATTACTCAAAACACTCCCAAGTTTCAAGTCCTACAAGAACAGATGATTAAGCTCTGTGTGAAGCTTTCTATGTTTTTTGCCATCTAAAGTCTTGACCTATTCAACATTCTTCAAAAGTCAACATTCCCAGGTTGGTTGCAATAAGAAAATCACCTTTGATGCACCAATTTTTTTTCTAACTTGCTTGTTTCTTGCAGTGATTAAATTCTCTGACCAAAAGAGTATCAGGTAAACAGCAGGTTTATTTGGCTGATTCTGCCAGATCACAATCTACCATTGTGGGAGCTTAGAATGGAAACTCAAGCTCATGGCTGAAGGCAAAAAACATGGGCTAACTTTGCTAACATTTTTCTTGTTTGGTCACTTGTCTCATTCTCAACTACCCCTTTTATTCATCTCAGGCCCTCTTGCTTAGAGTATTGCAATCTCAGTGGAAGAGTTACCCACAGCACTCATCAATCAACACAATGTCTAACAGAGAGCAACCAGCCACTCTGATGGGGAATGACTTCAATTGATGTTACTTCAGATGATGTCTTTACTGACACATAAAGCTAATTAATATGAGGAGACAATAACATGAGATGGTTTTAAAAACCCAAAACCAGGGCTGGAGAGATGGCTCAGCGGTTAAGAGCATTGCCTGCTCTTCCAAAGGTCCTGAGTTCAATTCCCAGCAGCCATATGGTGGCTCACAACCATCTGCAATGAGGCCTGCAGGAAGAATACTGTATACATAATAAACAAATAATAAATATTTTAAAAAAAACCAAAACCAATGTATTAACCATAGCAATTATTTAAGCAGCAAATACCCAAACATAGAAAAGTAACAACTTGAAAACATATATGCCAAGAAATGAGGAAAGGCAAGCCTCTAAGATCAAGAAAACTAAAACTATCTCTCCACAGAAAGTTCCCAAACTAACAAAAACTCAAGGAACTCAAAATATAATGTAGCAATTTTTTTGAATACAAAAGCTGGTGAAGGCCCATCATTTTCCAGAGAAACAACAATATGATTAGATGATAACTAATAAAATCAGCAACATATATGGCACTACAAACAAAAACACAAAGCTACACCTGCAAATACATACCATGGTCCTTTAACCAATAACTGCAAGATTCTAATTAAAATCCAAATCCAAGAAATCACTGGCTAGCACTCATCTTGTGAACTCCAGTTCTCTCCTTTGCTAATAGTAGAAAATGGGTTGTTCAAAGAGGGATGTTCAACCAAAACTAGAAAAATTCAATCGAAGTCGTCTGAAGTTTTAACTTTGTAGAAAATAGATTTGTGTACTAAAAGGACCTCATTTTCTTAAGGTAAAGAAAAGGATATTTGTTAGGATCACTTGAAAACCATTTTGTTTCCCAAGACAGATGAATGGATGTAAGTCTGTATCAGATGAGGAAATGGAAAGTCTTCCAAACCAAAAGCACGATAACAGATTTTTAAAGAAACAGTGTCTGATTTGTATTGTATATCCAAAGCAACTTATTTTTTTCTAATTGTTTTGTAAGTCACAAGAAATTTTGAAAATGAATTTATCCCCATTTTTTTGTGTCTGTTTGTATGTGAGAGACCAATTTTTCATGTGCCTGCAGGTAACCACTAAAGAGAGGGTGTCCGATCCCCTGGATTTCAAGTAGCAGGTGGTTATAAGCCTCCCAACTTAGGTGTTGGGATATGAACTCAGGTCACCCCCAAGAAGAATTTTTGCTGAGCAACCTGCTCAGCACCATAGTATTTTTACCCAATAACTAAATGTCTTTCATAAATTAACAACAATAAAAAACCTAAATAAATAAAGAAGTAAATTAATGGCCCTTGGAAATACATTGTAACAATATTAAGATGTTGTCTATGGTAAATTTGCAGCATGAATTGTATATGATCCAAGGAAGATTCCCAACAATTTATAACAGGAAAGCTGATTACAAAGCTACATGCAAAGTGGAAACACAAAGAATCCTCAATGAAAAATACTACACACATTGACACAATGTGACTTCTATACTTACAACAAAGTTACAACAATTAAGAATGTGTACAATATTTGTGAAAGAATAAAAGGATGGTGAGAAAAAACCAAGCAGAAAGATATGGTCAACTTTTAATCAAAAGACTAAAGGAAGCTCAGCCAGAAAAAGTGTGATGTTGACCAACGTTATCCAACTACCTACGATTCTATGCATATAAAAACTAAATAAACAGACTTTATAACACCTACCAAATTAACTCAAACAGACACTAAATTTGTTATGTTTCTGACTCTCCAGCTACAGATATTTCTTCCAAAGAGAAGCCCATGTTCTAGAGCCCACTCTACAATGGAGGTAATCTCCTGCTATGGCTCTGAAAACTCTCATGCCCCTTGAGGTTTCAGATAAACTCAGTCTCAAAGATGCCCTACACACTAAACAATGTCAAAGAATAATCTAATGTCTATTTCCTGCAACATAGATTATGGTACAAGTTGTGGAATCTATTTTATCCACCCAACTAACACCAAGCATAACAGAAAAATCTCTGCAGCTCAGAAACTCCTTTTCTCCCCTTCCTAGACGCAGACAGGGCCATGGTCTAGGAAATTTGTAATTTAGTAGAAATTCTTCCAGTCTTGTACACCTTCCATTACACACTCAATGTCCAGTGCAGCCAAACACAAGTCACCCTCTAACAGTAACTGTTGTTACTGTGTAACTAATTGTTAAAGCAAAAAGAGGCCATGAGTTAGAAAACAATGAGGGTCATGGTAGGGCTTAGAGGCAGGAAAGAAACTATATATGATGTAGTTATAATCTCAAAGAATTATTTTGAAAAGTTGAAACAGGCTTTATGACCATGTTCTCCAGAGACTAGGGATTTGAAAGAGAGCACATGATGGGTTACTCAACCTTTGCTCCCAGGATGTGCATCTCAAATCATAGCCACATAATTTAGCCACATCTTCTAGTCTACTTGAACAAGTGTAACTATAGTAATTTGACAGGGTCAGATTTTATCCTGATTCTTGATTGCCCTCATCTGTGAACACCAGTAAATGGTCAGTCAGGATATTTGTTGATTATCTAAACCTGACTACCTGATCCACATTGCTAACCTCAACTACTGCAAAGCAGGAAAGCTTTCAACCTCCATCCTATCCCTCCCTTTCTGCACTGTGACTACATCAGCTTCAAAGTTGGTCACTGAACTCAATTCTTGAACAGGTCACTCTTCATTTTCCCAAATAAAAGCCAGAGATGTTGCAGGACACTCATTAACTGGTCTATGTTTCTTTCTTACTTACCAGTCAAGGCCCAGCCTGGAAGGAGCTGCAGAACTGTCTTCCCAGCACTGGACAGCAGAGGAAGGAGTAAGTATTCAAGTCAATTATCAACTTGACAGTGTGGTGCAAGCCTGGGATTGAGAAGGCATTGCTCTAAACAGAAATAAATCAATAGTACTTGAGAAAATGAAATGAAATTCCTAACGACTGAGAAACACTGGAGAACAGAAACAAATAGAGATTAGCACAGTAATGCAATTAAAAAAAAATGAAATTTTCAAACATGATACCAGTAATTGGCATTTTTAAATGGTGAAAATGATTCATTTTTAAGATAAAAAACTTAGCTATATTGACTTAGAAAAAGAGTAGTCCTTTGCCTAATAGAGGAAATGCCATTAATAAGAGACTGATAGATGTTGGCTGCTGAAATCTGTAACCTGACAGAGTAACAGTCAAAGTTCTGTTTATCAATCTTTGTGTCAAGCAGGACTGAACATATTTGCAGAGAAAAGTTCCCTAGGGCTGGAGAGATGGCTCAGAGGGTAAGAGCAATGGCTGCTCTTCCAGAGGTTCCGAGTTCAATTCCCAGCAAGCACATGGTGGCTCACAACCATCTGTAATGAGACCTGGTGCCTTCCTTGCCAGCAGTACATTGTATGCTTAAGAAAGAAAGAAAGAAAGAAAGAAAGAAAGAAAGAAAGAAAGAAAGAAAAGTTCCCTAATTGGAAGATCTTTATATTTGGCTCAAGCTAACCTTCTCAATGTGGAAAAACTACCAATTTGGTCTGCCTTCATTCACAGGACGTGAATTAATACACGCTTGGAAATTACAAAACTACTCCCCCTGCCACAATCAAGTCCTTTTTCATAATTGTGACTCCAGCAGCTAATTGTTGACCTTGTTTCCCCTCTGCAGTGTACACCATGAACTATTTTCCCTATTCTAGTGTGAAGGCAGAAGCCATGCTCCTCATGGAAATCTTTTCCTGTGACTGCAATAGGTAGTTAATAATTTAAAAATTTGAAAATTCCAAGGTAGTACAGTCATTTAAGAATTTAGCAAGTGTACTATAGAGGATAGCAAGGTCAATGACCTGGAGAGCAACAGACTGGGATCAAGGCTACTGAAGTCAACAACATAGGAGAGCTTGTTTCAGAAATATTTTTCTAAAAGGCTGGAAGTGCAGATGTTCTAGAATTAATATGCCTTCCCAAGAAGAAATCACTCTACACACTTAAGAGTTTAATAAAGAAAACTGCTTTAGTACTAGTATGCTTCTTCACCTTACTCTAATGCTCAAAGAGGAGCCAGCTTAGAACAGACTTTGCATTACAAACTTCCTGTCATTCTTATTTTAGGTTCAGGCACCAGGTTACACTTTGAACAATTTAAATAGGGACAGGAACTTAGCACATGGAAGATTTACACAGCAAAGATATTCCCAGAATTATTTCTTAAGTATAACAGTGACATAAAATAACAGGTTATTCTCCAGTGACAGGGTCCTGAGGTGGAGGTGCCAGAAATGAGAAAGATAGGAAATGGAGAAGGTAGAAAAGATAAAGGCTGGGGTGAAATGGTCCTGTACAAGCTATGCCTCTTACCAAGTAAGCTTCTTAAAAAGAATAATATCGTGTATACTACTTCTAGGGGGGAATGGAAAGAAATGGGAGATTTTTATGAAGTCAGCAGAAACTGTCATGAGCTATTGTGGGCCAGGATGCAAATGCAGCAGATAGCAATTGATAATTCTGATGTCAACCCACCAGATGAATAATTCTCTGATGGAGGAGAACCTTGTTCAAGCAAGGCTTATGGAACTACTGACTCTGGAAACTGTTGTTTCTCTGTAATTCCACATGTGCAGAAACAACTGTGGTATCTCCCCAATATCTGCACTATAATGTGTATCTCATATGATATGTATATGTAATCTCATGATTATATCTCAATCTTGTGAACACATATATCCATGGATAGTCAGGAAGATGACTTCTCATTAACCTGTATAATTTTGAAGAACAGAAATATGCTAGGATATGCTTCATAACTGATCTATTGTCCCATAAGGTCTGGTTTTTTTTTTCACTCAGAATAACATAAGAAAACAACAATTTCCCCCAGTCTAAGACAGGCTACACACATTTAGCTGATCTGAAACCTCAGAGCAATTTCAAACTAGACTGAGTGGGTTTGTATACACATCGTAATTTAAAACATGAAAAAGGACAGTCGTAGATGTCTAACCAAGGCTATTAATACAAAGCAATCTAAAGTACTATGACAATTCTTTGCTTACTAAAAGTCTAGCTGATAAAGATCACAATCACTCCCTGTATGAATTCCTCAGCAGGGTGTCTCACAAGGCAATGTGGCCCCAGGTTCAGGATGGGAAACTAGGGACCTTGAGCTCAGGCACTGCCATGGTTACTCACTCCCCTCAGTTTTTGTAATTTTTTTATTGCAGAAAGTTTGTTGTTGAAATAAGCTGTGGAGAATTGGAGCAGAATGGAATAAAGAGAACAAGGAGAATAAAACAATGAAGAGAACTAGAGCTGAAGAAGAATAAAAGGGAATGATCCTCAGATTGTATGAATCTTCTTAAATAGGAAATCGTTTTAAGCCCTGCTACTCTAAAAAGTATTTTCTTAGTGACCCTGGGTGCAGCCCTGAGAGCTGAACTCTCCCAGGCTGCAAAAGAAACTACCATACAATGGGACAAATTCAGGGAGGTCTAATAAAATAATGCCGTAAAAGGGGAACACAGTGTATCTTAAGAACATTACTGACCAAGCCCACAGAGGCCTTGGGACTGATAACCATAGCTCCACGTGATGGGAAGAGTTGGATTCTCAGGATCTGAATCAACCCCTCCCACAAAGACCTGGCCCCAGATCATTACCAGTGAGAAAGCTTGGGGGGGGGGGGGCGGTAGATCAGAGCCAAGACAGGCTCTCCTAGTAGCCCTAATAGAGATCAGGCCTTAGTTTCGGTTCACTAAAATGGGACAGAGCTAAACAGACAGTCATCAGAAAAACCACAATTTAGGAGCAGGCATCCCAGTCTTCTGCTAGCTCAGCAGTCACCCCATGGCCCCTTCTGCTGGCTCAGCACATGACCCCCAGTCTCCTGATAACTAAAGATAGCTTTCCCTACCCTGCTGCTAGAAGGTCCCTAAGCACTAGGACCTCCCTCTAACCAATCAGACCCCAGACTAATCTTTCCTCCACCAATCAGTCACAGATTAGTCTCTCCTCCCTGAAATTTCCCAAACTCTGCTTAAAGGAGCTTGTGACCTTTTTTAGTGGCCGCCAAGTGCTACATTGGAACCAATAAAGCACTCTTGTTATCACATACATGGCTGTTGGTCTTTCCTTGGAGGCTTCTCTCAGACCCTAACAATTGGTGCATTGTCCATAAAGTTCCCCAGAGAACCCCACCATGATAAGCATCTGATAACCTTGGACCGCTCCAAGGACTTTCAAACCCAAGTCAGTGACTTAGGGCTCATTATCTGGAGGGGGTGAAAGCATTCTTGATAAGGACATGGCAGGACTTTGGGTGCCTAACAGAGAACCAATGGCTGATCACTGTGGTGGCTGGGGAAGCTGATTATCATTGGTTAGGGTGAAAAAGAAAACCCTACTGCTAGTCTTAGATGTTTCTCATGGTACAAGTTTTACTGTGATGATGCAAATTTAGAGTTATTTCTGCTTTGGTATATGTATGATTCTGTTCTTGTTTAAATATTAAAGGCATACAACATTCTAGACTACTAAAGGAAACCACAAGAAGGACTTTGATAAAAAGTTTTCATGTCTAGAAAGTAAGAGAAAAGGCAAGAGACTAAAATAATAAGGAGAAGAGAAATAAAAGATAAGGCTGTCTGAACAGAGATAGGAACCTGAGGATGTATAGTAAGTTGTAAAAGGCCAGAGAAGGTATGAGATTTGGCCATGTTATGTTAATTCACGTTCATTTTATTAAAAAAAACAAAGCTGATGATTCACTACAAAATGTTTGTGTTAGGAATGGGGTCATTCTCTTTAAAGGAGAGAGGGGGACAGACCACTGCCTACCGCGCCCCTGCAACCTTTCTTTCTTTCTCCAGGCAACAGGGAGAAAGGGTGCTTTTCTATCCCACCACTTTACCCCCAGGTACCCCAGGATGAGAGGTATGGGAAGGCAGAGGGGGTGGGATGGAGGAGCTCCCCACATACACACCCATTCTCAAAAGGAGGAGTGACCAGCTGGGGAGAATTCCGTGGCCCTTCCATTGCATGCTGTGGACCAACCTGATGCTGGGGACAGGCAACATCTAGTCACCAGCCCCTGGTCACCAGCAACCTTTATAACTGGAAATTATAAAATCTTAAGTTTTCTGAGAAGCCAGCAAGGCTCACTGAACCTGTTGTATTCAGTTCTTTTCACTCACCAACCAACTTGGGATGATTGTTTTCAACTGCTCCAAGTCCTCTTCACTACTGAGGAGAGAGACAGGATTAGAACAGAAGCTTAGAAATTGGTTCCAGGCCCAGATGGAAGACTGGCCACCAAATCAGATCTCATAAATGTTGGGTTTTCTGTGATATGACTCAGTTGGGATTCTACATAGAAAAATGTAGGGAGAGGCTGAAAGTCCACCTCCAGACTCTAATGGGGGTTTCTGTCCAAAGTTAGTCAGGTATGCCAGGGCCTGAAGAAACACCAGGAGCATTCCTTGAGAGGGGGACAGAAGTTTATAAGACCTATACACCCTGGAATCTGGAAGCACCAGAGAATTGGTCTGTAGTCAGCCCAGCTTTTGTCAACCAGTCAGCACCAGATATTCACCATAAGTTGCAGAGACTAGAAGGTTTTAAAGGTAAGAGGTTGGCTGAACTCATTGTGGCTGCTGAAAAATAATAGGGAAACCCCAGAGGAAAGGCAGACAAAGGGGCTTATGAGAGCTTTATAAAGACAGATTTGGAGTCTCATTCTGAGATTCCTGGAGGCAGGATTGCTATTTTTGGAGGTCAAGACTACATTGGGGACCTCTGCCAGATCCACCAGGCAAAGTCCCACTAGCCTGT